AATTACCCGTTACCCACACAATGACAGAAGAGTCATCATTAGTCAAGACATGAAAACTATGGCACATTGTCGTGCGATAGCCGCCAAAAGTTTTAGAACCCTGTGGTTTATACGTTGAGTCTTTAGTCATGTCGTTGCTAAAATCTTTCTTACTTTGACAACAGTTTTTTCGTTTAAAAATTGTGTATTGCACACAAGCGGCCATCTTCTACTAAATAATACAGTAAGTAATTGGAGAAGGTTTAAAGGAGTACAACTTAGTTAATTAGCGGAATTAAAAAGCTACCATATGACACGAAACTGCCAAGCTAAACATATCCCTCTTGTTATATAAAAGGACTAAAGGTAACTTGATCGTAGTTCTCAGATCATTTCGCAAAATGAAAATACAACTGAGTGAAAAGAAGGGAATATAAAATAAACATCAACCCTTTTGAATGTACTGATTTTCTTTCCTTGTTTAGGAAAAACAATTACTAGTGTTCAGAGTGTTTTATTTTCAATACTTCTGTTATATTTCTATTTACCAGGCTCAATCTTTTATTTTATCAATGGGTAGTTTGCTTTCTTTCATGAGCATGTTGCGAAACTTGTCTATCTTTGGATTTTGGTATACCGTTAAATTACTTCAAATACTATTATTGTTTCATTATATATATGAAACGAACAAAATAAGAAAACAACTAGGGAACAGATAATATGTATATATGTTGCAATATAATAAAATATTTGATGATTGAATAAACATGTGAACACATGTATTAGTGAAAGGGAGTTCTATAGTATAGAAAGAAAAGAATCAGGTAATACATATATTTTGATAAGCTCAGAAAAAATCAGCTAGCCAGAGAAGAGAAGAGAATAAATCTAAAATTATCCATTAGAGACAAGGAGTATGAAAGAATGTTAGAGAGAGAAAAAACTTCAGAGCAGACAGGGTAAAACAAATTTAATGAACTGATGACAGAGGTAGAAATAAATAGTTCAGTTAAATTTACCATACTCTGTTAGTAACTATAGCGTCAATAAAATATCTCGTATTCTGTAATTTGGATAGTTAAAAGACATATATGTCAAAGAATATATCAAAGGATATCTACCATTGGTATGAATCTTTATGATAAATGGACAACAGAAATCTAAGCCTGATATGATCACATACTCTTCAATATAATATTGCAATTAATAATGATTACCAATATGTAAGTATGATTAGTCTTTAAGAATTTTTCTTCAAATATGTTATTTTATTGTTCCAAAAATGATCTATTAAATTTCTAGCAAGGTTACAAACAAACATTTTAGCAAAGAATACTACCGAATACTAGGGATAGACAATTACTATGAATAAAATTATATTGTGTAATATATTATATAAAACATTAAAATACTTTATTCTACAATTTTAAAATATAAAAGGATGAATTTTCTACATAGACAATATTAAACATTTTTTACTTTTAATAAGAAATGTTTAAATACAATTGAGTTATATAGGATACAATAATAAGAATTCTTTTTAACTTAGTGACTGTAATATCACATACTTATTTATGAACTTTAATGGGAAAAGAATTTTATACTGTACTTTTGCTTTTCATTGAATAACTTTGTTGTCAACCAAAAAAAAAAATTAATATCATATTTGTACATTTTTATTGATTAGAAGTGTATCAATAAATTAATTGCTGAAATGATTAAAATCTCGCCAGATTTTGATGGGACTTGACAAAAAGTGGTACATAAGAGCTTCATAGAAACATATGATTACTGTGTATTACTTAGTTGTGTATTCACAAGTTATTGATTAGAATTCAACTAATAAACATTTTAATCACTTTGTATACAGCATTTGTACATGTGATTTGAAATATCATGAAAACGAGTTTTTCATGGTTTAACACAAATATTATTAAAAGGGATTTTTGCTGACATTATAGCAAATTCAATAGTTCAGATCAAGAGTCAATTGAAGCTAGACTACCATGGAAAACCTGGAAGCACTGAACGGCCGTTTCATCCTATTGTGGAACTCCTCAAATATTATTGACTGATTTTAAAAAAGCAATTGATATCAGTAAAGTATTGTCTGGATCTCTATAAAATACATCTTAAACTAATACAGCTCTATTCTATACACTCGTGTCAGTTATTGAAAAACAACAGATACATATTCATCATCATTTTCTAACCTACTGTATGAGAAGCTAATCGTCTGTAATTTTCGCCAAAGTGTAACAAGAATTAAGTTAGGAGATAAAAACAAAATAATATAATTAAGGTTTCATGTATCGTTTGTATAATTCCTAAAAAGATTGATGAAAACAAGATTATAGGAATAAGTAAAACGACTTGATTACTAAGATATTTACACTTCTTTGGGATGTGGTGTGAAAGAAAACTCAGATAATTAATGATATCACATAATGAAAGTGAGATAGAGAAGTGAGAAATAAGTAAGGATAAACAATAATTTTCATACGAAACATGCTAGTTATAAGTTGGTCAGAGTTAAGAAGGTGGAATACCATATTACAACTTCGTGTCTCAAAAGTATGGTGTTTGCTTCCAAATCTGAAGGATATAGATTCAATAATGTACTTAATTATTGACAATGACTTCTGAAGTGTACTAAACCACCGCAAAAGTTTTATCCAATGCTTTTGGATGTTCAGCTTCCAATTAGGTAGTGTTGGCCCATGAGAATAACGATTTCCACATCTGATTCCATCATATACCTAATCTAATTTGGTAGATTACTTTTATAGAAATGTATTTAACTAACAATACTGTTTATTGTCTTCACATTAGGCCATTACTCGTATTCTTGAACTGAATAATCAGCTAAGATCTCCTTGATTACCTAGCGGTTACATACTTACCTATGGTTAGTCCTATGCACTATTTAGACATGACTTATGAGAATCAGGAACATTTTATCTAAATAATCCATTTTATTCATCAGAATAATCTCAGGCTCTTCATCTAATCGCCATTCGTAAGTCTAATATACTTCAAGCAAAAGGTATTGGATTGAACTTTCGATTATGTTCAGGGTAGTTCAGTAATGCTAACAAACTAAGATTATTGTCTGTCGGTGCAAAAAGAACTACGATTTTAAATTATATGGGATGTTGTATGACTTGAGTATCATTCTCAAACAAAAACATTTGTCATAGAAGAAACTAATAACTTATAACTATGCTACAGGATTCTACATACATATTATAGCCTTCTTACAATGACTAATTAAGCTGTCAGGAAACAAATTTCAAACTGTCATTAACATGGATTACGCATCATTTAAAACAACTGATTTCTTGTATTTTTCAATATCCACTGAAGAACTCAAAAACTATTTGAAAAATCATAACCATATAATGGTACTAACTAAAATTGCTTTATACAGTGAACATTGTCTACAATTAGTTTGTCTTTTTCAATACTCATTTTGTCTACTCACAAGTAGTGAAGACTTGATTGCACATATAATCCTCAAAATCTTAATAGTGAGAAATCAATTAACTCAGAAATCCTTTATTCGAATTGAATTTAAATTTGTTTCATGATCAGTATTTAAGAAAACCATTAGCTTTTAACATCTCAAATATTCATTAATTTGAAACATACTGTTTGAATTTTACTGTTACTAAAGTATCGAGGATGATAGAAAAAAAACTACAGTATCAAAACATATTTAGTCATTTGACTTAATATGATTCTGATGCTGTGATTTATCGAAAAGTAGAAAAAGAGTTCCTAGACAATTTTCAAAATTTAAGTAAAGAAAATAACTATTGCTTTGACATAACATTTTTATCACAGAATGACAAATTAATTGAGGTACATAATTCACTTAGCTATATAATAATTTTCACTTCGATGTTGAGACACTGGTGATCAGAATTCAAATGATCTCGTCAGAGTACTGAAGGAAAATGATAAGCTATGGGACCACTAAAATTGAAAGTGAACATATATTCACGAGTACCACTAACTAAAGAGGGAAAATGTGAATCATTCAGAGGTGTAACAATATGGTATCCAAACGCGAAACTAGGTGTATATTCAACTTTATTGTACACTACTGAGAGGTCTTAGACAAACTAAATAACTATCTACGGCTCACTGGTTTTCAATCATTTTCCAACTAATGTCATTTAATGATGAAAACTATCTACAAATCGAACAAATTGGCATAAACTATGTAACTAATTTCTAGAACTTTTGCTGTATTTAGTCAAATTCCGTTTTGATTTCCCAATTTTATACATTACTTTAACTCCATTTTCTTCTTGTTTTATTTAAAATAGGTAGATTTTCCATCCACTATTGTAGTAGAAAATACCATTCTGATAGAATTCTTCTTTTCGGTGCCATGATATGTTTAAATATTACTTCACAAAACATATTTCTAGATACATTATATATATATATATATATATATATATATATATATATATATATATATATATATATATATATAATTTCCCCCTGAGTGCTACTTGTAGATACTAATATTAAATACCATTTCATGTAGACAACAATATTCTGCGTTTCGCCATATAAAGATCGGTTAGGTCTAACATGTCACACAATCACATACTTCTAACCTAAAGGTTAGAGGTTTTGACAACTCATAACGGTTCAGCCCCGAGGGTAGGTATGTACTCAGGCTTTCAATAATCTTGTAAAATTAATTTATAATCACATGGTCAAAAGCACATTTGATGGCTACAGATACAAATTATGTGGCTTATGGAAAATTATAGAACCGAAACATATTTTTTCCTAGGATAGTCTTACATAAATATAAAGCATTCAAGGCGGAATAGACTCCAGAATGTGATAAATGGCAAAGTTAAGGAGGTATGACCAAAATTGTCAATTCTCTACTTATAATTTACAGCAACTTATAAAAAAGTAAATGAATGTCTATACTCTACCTGATTTATCTCTAAGACAAAGTCACAACAAAAATTTAATGTAGAAATGAGTCTAAGTAGGTTTGCAATATAATAATTATTCTTGATTTACAAATTTCTCTAAATTTTCAATGTCCTTTCTAATTGTGTCATCATCTGGTTGAAGTTTTTGTGCAGCTCTGTATTCGATAAGCCCTGCGTAAAGAAAAAAAGAAAAATGTTTTAGACAATTATCAGACGTTATATTTATCTAGCTATATATTTATATTTATTGACAAACATGTACTCGTAAAAATTCATGATATCTGACTCCCTTACAATATCCTGGATGAAATTTAAAAATGTATATTTTTAAACAAATAAATATAACATCGCTTCAAAAACACTATACATGAGTATGCATGTTTACAGTTATGACTATACTCTGTAAAAGATTGTAAATAAGTAACTAGACAATTATATACTGACTATGTGAATAGATAGGATGTTTTGATAGTTTTGTGAAGATATCTCATCACCATAACAAGGCAGTTGTTATCAAACTTTCCAGACTTAACCTATATGTACGGAATAAAAGCATGATAATTCTATCTTTGTTATGGCAAATACAATTGTAATCGGGTAATTTTCACCTCAAACATAATATTACTGATGCTCATAAATTGATTTGAACTCGATGCAAATTATATTGACTGATTATTTATCGTTTTCTTCATTATGATTACTAGTGTCAATGATCTCACTTCCGCTACTCTGAACGACTATAATTTCCAAATATAAAAATCCATCAGTCTTAACTGCTTAATAAAATGTGTGTCTTATTGGCCTTTTCATGGTTTTGATCCTGTTTCGAACATTCAACTCCAATACACTCACATAAGTATATCAAATATGTTTCTAACTATATCACTCTATGTAATTTTAGACTGTTTAGAGCCGATGAAAAGCATTGAAACAAAATGACTCCATTTTATTTTGGGGATCTTGTTGTTTTTGCTTTGTTCAAATTTATCAGGCAAACTAAATTTATAAAATCATGGCTCTACACTAATATATATACGTTTTACAATAATAATATAATACTCATGGAGTCGAGATGTTACGTAATAATTACATAATGACATTTCAATTAACATTGATTGTTTGGAAGAAAGAGGATTATTAATATTCAAAGTGATCAAGAAGTTGCTACGTTTAAATTTATAAAACTAATATTTTAAAGTGTCATCACCATGACACTTCACTTTGAAATATCGTCTTTTTCAAAAAATTCAACTAAAAGGAGTTTGAAAACATAAGATAGTAGTTTAGGTCAAGAGTTTGGATCCCTAAAATTCAGATTCAGTTTTAGGGGACTGCAAATTGTTGTATTTTCTGTCACTCGTATATTTATATATTAAGGGTAAAATCACTGATACTACTATCATCCAAGTTTAAAACAATGTATACTCTAAACTACAACAGATAATAAGTAACATAATCTTATGCTATATAACGTGTGCGATTAATGACGTTAGTATTTCAGATTGTATGCTACAGTAAATGCTTCTCCTTATTGTCCTTAATCGCGCTACGGGTTTTATCTACAAGATACAATACGTGCAACCTATATACAGTTAATCTTGAAAAATGTGTCAGTTCACTCAATAAGTAAATCATACTGACAGATAAATGTAACAGTAAAATGATATAGTAAGTATGGTAGGTGGTGAGTTTTCTTAGTAATTCAACATTTAGTATAGTTATCAACCTACCCACCTTCTTTGTACAATTGTAGATTACAAAATGCTGCTCCACGCCTAATATGTGCACGCACACGTGATTTTAAATTTTGCGCTACAGGCGGTACACAAAGATCTAGTACCATTGAACTATCTTCCAGAGCCTTAAAATAATTCCGCAATTGTAAGTGACATGCAGCTCTATTCGAATAAGCTCTTTAATTGAATTTTTGAAATTTGGATTAAGGAATAGAAATAGATATTTTTCAGCAAAATATTTCAATATACAGTTAAGCAAAATTTCCCATGGATTATTGTTACTTCATCCACAATAACTAGATTATAATTGTGTTTTTTTAAAAACTGTTCTACTTGGTTAAAGTGATTTTTATTCACACAAGAATAAACGCATATGATGAGAAATAAAATTTTCATTCACCTTCTGGTTATTATTCAGGATAACTAAAATCAGAGAACATGCTTTTTCGTAAATCAATAGAATAAAATAGTTTACACGATAACCTTCACAGAACACAAAATAGTAAGATGAAAAAGTACCGATTATTATGTAAAACGTTTTTAGGTATGTTACTTGCAAATAATAATTAATACACCGAGTGATATAGGTCCTGGTCTAATGGATCAACTTCGCTATCGAAAGATAGATGTAACTAACAAGTACCAGTTAGCATGAAACCTAGATCTAAGGTTTCCTTCCAATCATCTCCAACCACTCAACAGCAGAAAATGCTATATGGAATATTGAGCCACTTAGACTAGTGGCCAAAGTACAATTTGATTTAGAGAAGTTCAACAACACCATGTAACAGATATTAATTAATCTCTTATGATTAATCAGTCTATAATTAGTAGTGTATTTTAATGTTGCTGAAACAAATTAACAATTTAGCTTTTTTTCAGGAATAAACTTTCAGTTTCTATCATTTATTAGCTTATAATGAGTAAAATATTTATAGACCAATATAAATCAACATCCAAATTTGATTGGTTTAACACAGTATAGTTTTGATTGTTAAAAAGCTATTTATTAATTCGGTGATTTTGATTATTACCCTGAAGAAGTCCAGACAAATTAGCTGGACGAAACGTTGGAATTATTTAAATTTCAATTGCTTAGATTATTTCAAACATAATTTTCGCGTATAATGACTTCTCTATACTCGGCGCCCAATTTCTGTCAAACGATTCGTTTAAATCTTGACGAATATTCGTTTAAACAATATAAATGCCGTTAAAGTAAAATTATAGATGAATTTTGATAATGATAAATTCGATTGAAGAGTAAATAACTTGATTGACAATGAAAATTGATATAGAGAGTAATGGTTTAATAAATTAGAACGCGAACGACATATTAAATTGATCTTCTTTTGTCAATCTTGTATAACATGTATTCATATATTAAGAAGCACTATAAATGATTCATTATATAATACAGTAAATGTGTTCACACAGTATGTTAATGAATTATTATTATTATTATTATTATTATTATTATTATTATTATTAAATACAATTCATTTCATTGTATACAAACCTGTAAATCAATCTAACTAAACAAACCATATAAAATGTAATACTTTCTAAAATTATTTCGACTTATTTCGGGAGTCAAATAAATTATTATCAATAGTTTTCACGCCTTTGCTCTTATGTTCAAGTTGCCATATAGATTCAACCTGGGGTTATTAGAAGTGGCTAGGAAATCAGATCGAGAGTTCAGATAGTAAGACTTGTTATTCATCTTATTATGATCGAGTTGTGAAAAAACGAGATGGATTCTAATTTGTTATGTGAAATAATTTTACCCAATTCAGCGTATCATCATCAAGATCACTATGTTGTTTATTCACTACTGAAAGAATTTTTTCAAAATAAAAGGTTTATGTAGATTAATTTTAATTGATTGATCACTGGGTGGTGATCAATTTCATGTGTGTCAAGTCCTTCTTAATGCAGATCGAATACTGTCAACCACTTTGCAATGTGGCCACTAGTCTAGGTGACTCGACATTGATTGCACTATGTTGAGATTAGATGGTGGTTGGAGGAAGTAAATTCTTTATCATAAATTGGCAATTCATTTAAAGAATCAATTCAAAACGAGGGTATAATTGTGATGCAAACTGGTAGCATTTTATGAAATTTAAAATAAATACTGATTGGAAATAAGTTTCTTCCAACTATTCAATAGTTTCATAAAGGATACGAATGTAATTTAGGATTTTGTGTTATAGCTTCAGTATAAGCAACGACAGCAGCTTCATAATCTCCTGCTTGAAATAATGAGCTTTCGAAAAAAAGAGACAAATAATAATATAATGTTAAACATTGCATATAAATATTTCTCTCTGAGTTAGATAATGAATGAATTTGTTTTTAATATAGGAATGTATAACACTTACATTTAATAAACTTAAAACAAAATATCCTATCATATTTACAAACCCCTCTTATGATACACTTCCTTTACATTTTCATAAAACATGACAACGTCTGATCGACTTTTCTTCATAGAAGCTGTGCTTTTAGATTTTTATCTGACTCAAGCAAATGACTGTAAACAACTGAACTACATTCCTAGAAGTGGTAAAAAGCGTATACCTTGATTATAATAGTGCAGAAACACTCACTCGTTCCTGTTTATAATAATAACCTTTTATCCATTTTGATTCTGTTTGTATGTCGTTGTGAAGTGTAACAGTTTAGGCTGATGCAATGCAATTTTAAGTCATATGTTTTATAAAAACAATGTCGAATGACATAAACAGTTTATTAGTTACAATCATAACTGCATTCGAAGAAATAATATAACGTAGTTAGTAATAATGACATTCCTTCAGAGTGAGAGACAAACAAGAAGGGTGAATGAAAAACTGGACTTTCATAATCGGCCCATTTAGATGATAGTCTCCAGATATCAAGTATAAGTTAAGATCAGTATATCTAAAAAACCAAGCAACAGATGATCTATCAGTACGTAATAATATCTTATTATTATTTAATGCGGGTTGAATTCAAGACTGTAGTTAAGGTCACATTTTTGCGGCAGTGCTACATTTTGCAGCATCGGTCCAACTTACCGCACCTCATTAGCACAACAAGATAAACACCAAATTCATAGAAGTGGTTACTTCAATGGTAATAACATATAAAAGAAAGATTGTGTTGTCTTTTTCCAAGATCGTCTCACTTACACCCAACATCTTAATTCCAGTTTCTTCTATTAGTCTGTGGAGCTGTCTAGTGTTACTTATAGCCGCCGCCTTTTCCATCACTTTTGCCTTCGTTGCCCACCACTGCTCACGGTCGTTCCTTAGACTTTTGGTTAACCTAGATCTGATTTCTTTACGCTCTTCATCGTTTTCAGAGCCTGATAAGATGAGTTTGCGAGATTCTATCAGTGTAATAGACTTAGTAGTGATCCACCGGTTTTCGTGACCCTTTGGTTCAAATCACAAATAGATGTCGCTGCATTAAAGAATAGCCTATAGGTTCTACTCATCATTGCAATATTTATCTGTTCTTCCTAATTACGGTAATACACAGTTATATCTACATTCAAATACATGGGAATACAAAATTATAGAAAATCTTAGTAAAATCTGAGAACCATACAGTAAATACTCAATTTGCGAAATGTCAAGCAATTATCTTAAACGTGACTGTTCCTTCTACAAATGTCTGTCAATAGTCTCAGACTTCATTGTTCCTTTGATTTAACACCAATCATTTTTTTGTTGTCGTTCTCTTTTCTTTGGTCTTTTTAACATTCTGCCTCCAGGTATTTCACCTTCGACTGATGATACATGCTACTTATATGTGTCAAAGTCAGTAGCACTCACCACAATACTAAAGGTTTTTGAAGATTTATCACTGGTTATTTGTTAATGGTATTTAACTTTTGTTTGGTTTATTTAGTGCAGTGAAGATATGGGTATTTCAACTACATGCACACAACAATTTTTTTATTTTCATCTAGTAGTTAACAGGCTCAAATGTAATTTCTTGCAAACCTGTAATTTACTCAGTATGCAGATGATAAAGGATTCCATCTACGTATTTCCCACAAACTAATAAAATTTTTAATCAGTCAGCCAGTTATAATCAATTTAAAACCTGGTACATATGTGCACTGATTCAAGTTCCCACACCGTGTCAGCACATCGAAACAGAATTACCAAGCCTGATATCAGAGTGGTAGAAGGAGCAACCGTATAAGTAGTAGTAGAAAGTACTAGGTATAAACAATGTGGTTTAAGAGAAGAAAATGAGTATGCGGAATAAAAATGCCATGAGATCATTCTAAAACTCAAGATCTGAGTGAAGACAAGGAGTAAATGAATTTGCACCTTTGCGACCGATTTTATGCCATGTCACTCAGTGTCTTTAACGAATAGGTACGATAACCACGAGAACCTCAACCTGGTAACTCACCCCTTCTAACTTGACTCAGTTATTCAGTCAATGACTGACGCCACTAATTTTATTGAACAAGAATTGGCAAAATCTTAACCGACATATAAATTTGTCTACAGCAGGAGGTTGACCACTGGACCATACATAGTAAAAACATCAAACTTACTCTCCTTTTTTGCGTAACCATATAGGATCTAGTTCATTCCTGGACAAATCATCAGGTACAACACGGTCCAATAGTTTTCTTCTATATTCGGCTTGTTTATTTAGCCACTAAATGAAATTGTGAGAGGATATAAATACAGTAACACATGCATCCCAATGATTACTCCAAATATATTGTTTTCTCTTCTTGCCTTTTATGTTTTTTTTTCATTTTGAACTAAGCTTAATTTACAACAATTTGTAAAATTTTGTTTATAATATTCTTAATGTGGCTTCACGCCGTTTGAAGCGGATGATAAGCCTTGGAATACAATAAATTCATGTTGTCCTGAAAATCTTATTCTTCTCACTTTAATCAAACTTATCAAGGGATCGGGATGTATGAAATAACATTGTGAGACCAAAAAATCACTAAATTTCAACACTCTCGTTCCTGTATTGAAGTTTTAAATCAGTGTAACATGTGTCATAAAATAACTAACTGAAACATTAGGAGCTGTCCATTTTTTCTGAACCCAGGCACAATATAAATAAGTAAATATAAAAGTACGGTGAGTTTTGCTTCACATCGAACAGGTGAGTATGTTGACGTTATTTATGAGGCGTTATAATAGAATAGTACAATAACACTATAGTTCAAACTATAACAAATAGTTTAATAGCTGGAAGTTAGTTTGTATCATGAGATCAAATGTAATTTTCTGTTAAAATTACCTCATCCTCAGCTTGTTTTGTAGACTCTCGTTCAGGTGTAGGAAATACTCTAGGTGTAAATTTAACTTCGATTGTAGATGAAGTCCTCACTGGCAAATCTATTGGTTTCTCAACAAATGCTAAACGTTGTTGGATATTCTTATTTAATTCCACTAATATGAGTAATTCAGTTGAAAAAGATATTTATCGACATACTGTTGTTTTCTTCATTAATGGTTTCTGTTATATATTGTTTAGCAAATCTTCGGGCTTCTGTAATTTCATTTTGCAGCTTTTTATTTTTTTTAAAAATAAAACTAAATTAACATTTGTTTACTTATTTGCACTAATTTAAAGAAGAGGTTTACTCCATAAACCATATTATACATCAAATTAATAATAATAATAATAATAATAATAATAATAATAATAATAAATCGATCATACTAAAACTTTAACAAACCGGAGGATTTAAGAATTTACTGTGTTCCTAAAATAGCTCAAATAATCAGTTTACTGAGTGATTGATTGTAAGTCTTGTAAAACTTAGTTCAATAGTATGTTACCTCAGAGACGTCATGGCAAGAAAACCTACTTTAATAGAGTATCCTTTGGATTTATCGATTTTATGAACAAACTTTGAATTAAGGGCTTTCATAAGTCTTAATAAACACGAATATTACTACTCAAATGCATTAAAAAGTCGTCTAATTTCGTCATTTTACGAGTGAATACAAAATTCTATATGTGTAATCATTGGGTTTTTGCGTATTTTACTAATTAATCAGAAGCTGCTGACTTAGGTAGGGCGTAAAATACCAGAATCATACCACTGCATTATTATTTGGTTATGACATAGTATAAATTTTGGTTTATCTCTGTGATCTTTAGTGTCTGCTGCATATTACGAAGGCTTGAAACTTATACCATATTTATATATCTTGAAATAGTCATGGCTAACATATCTTTTGATAGAAAACAACTTTACAAAAAAAAGATATTGGATAAAATATAATATTTATTTTTATTCAAACATCGCCAAAGTATATGAAATCAGTTGTTTACTTAGGATCAGAAAGTACTTACGATGAATTATCCCAGAAACCAGACTAAGTGAGTAGTCAATAGAATTTTTTCCCAAACGATATAGCGTGATCCGTCTCTCAAACAGTTTAATAATAGTTAATGAGTCAATCTAAACTAGTTCCTATATTTAATGGTAGAAATTACCGTGGAACATCATTTGAAGATAAAAGTACCAAAAGTGGCTAGTCCCGTACACCGAGAAATAAATCATGTCTATGGTGCAGAAATGAATTATAAACTGGAAGGACAAATCAGTGGATTCTATGAATGTAGATCTTAGATACCTATCCCATAAGTCCGGTTAGTAGGGATATATTTGGAAGATAGACTTCTAAATACTTGATTTATTCCTATTTTCAGTCCCAGCAGTTTCGGTGGTTAATTAATTTTAAAGGATTAAGTGGGAAAAAACTCAGTTTAGTCATTTATAGAGAGGAATTTCCCCTCCTTGAAATTTTTAGTGATGGTTTTTGATGCTGGGACGAATTAGAAGTACCTACTGTTGAATGGTCGGAAAAAATATTCACCGTTTACTCCTAAATGTACCATTATCAGAAGTTATAGTAGGATGATAAAGTACCTTGAGGTAAACAAAACATGACAAGGTAACACTACAATAAATCATTATATATGGTTCAGAGATAAATTTTTAAATTTACTGTTAATTTATCACAATATTGGTGTCAGTCAACATCTACAGTTTGCCATCTCTGAATAATAGAAGTTTAGTCAAGGTTATTCATGTGTTTTTACTTCTTATCTTTGCATCCTTTTTTAAGTTTCATTTATTGTTTTTCCAACACTCGATGGTAATAATTCTGGCAAATCAAACTGAAGCATTATTGCGGCAGGTTCTACACTCTCTCAGTCAGTTTAAATAATATCCTTTGATAATTCCAGCAACATTTCGGTCTATGTTAGCATAATGCAGAAATCGACTTTATGTTGTATTCTTGAATACTTACCTCATTTTCTTTTTGGCTAGATTGGTTAAAAGCATCTACAAACTCGCTTATTGCTTGCTTGCTAGCGTGCTCTTTTTCAAGTCTAATTTTTTCACGAGACACATTCTCTAACTAATAAACAACGACAATTTATTTAAAGATAAATACAGTAAGTTACTTTCATAACCTGTTCCAATGCGTATTTTTCACCCCTTATATTCATGTCTTTGTTTGCTTTAGCGCGTTTCATTTCGCGTTCTTGATGTTCAAGTATGGCATTTTGTTTAATTTGTAACAAACGTTTTCTGTCCTCTGAAGTGTTAATTAATCTATAAATATTAAGCATCTTAATTCTTAATTAGTAAAAAGTATAGTAACAAAATAAAATATATCTACAAAATTACTCATGTCATCTAATGTCAATTGATTCCATAGTTCAGCACTAGATTTTTTGAGGTTAAACTCAGCCGCACCATCTGTTAGTTTCAAAGTACTTTCTTCAACATTGATCGGTTTGTACAACGCGCATTCAAAAATGTACGGTTTGATAACAACCTATGGAAACCATAAGATTTAAAATAGAAATATAATATTTCCCTGTCTATAACCTGTGGTTATAAATTTAAGTATTCAGTGGTAACTTCCGATCTAAAGTGTTAAGAGTATATATAGGTAAATTTTTTCATATATCTTGAAAGCGCAAGTACATTTACATGTGCTAGACGCTGCAAGTGTCTGTGATAACAGTCAGAAACTTTTGCTACAATTTACCAAAGTTTGTTCACATGTAACCAAAACAAGACGGAAAAAAATAGTCAGTAAATTTCTAAATCAAGACAGTTTCTTCCTACTATATTTTTTGCACTTTGGTAGCATCAAACAAACGAAATGGATCAAAAAAGCTGAAATTTATGTGGTTATTGAATCATGAATAAAACATATATACATATGGTTAGAATAAAGATGACAATATTTTCATATGGACCCAGAAAAAAAACTAAATAAAATGAGTAATTAAAAATTTTTCATAGAATGACATACATAGAGTAATTACATCAGCTTTCAATAAAGATGATCTTGTTAAAATGTTATCTTAGAATTATGGGCTAAATAAACTAGTAAACTGTTATTATTTTAGATTAGAAATCAAAAGGCACTAATGTCCCTGATACCTGATTCACAGTATGTGTTGTGTCACATTAATTGGATCGTTTGTTTCGAGTAACTTTCTACATTTATAATATTGATGAGCCAGAAAGTTGTCAGCGGGATAAAGGGAATCTTTTTAAGGTTTTATGCTTACTAATCAAACCTGAAAGTTTTAGAAAATATGATGGTGGTCGAAATTCAGACTAAACTGGTTAACTTTGTTTTGTTCTAGCGACTAGATGAAACGATTTACATCATATATATCTGCTACAAATCCGTTCTACAATAATGTTTAAGATAATGTGAAAGTAGTGACAAGTATAAACCCTTAAGGTTAATAAATTTAGCAGGATAAAATAATTGAAGCTATGTGGTTATATATTATCACAAACTGAGATCTCCCTTGGCTAAATCTACGCTCTGTTTATTCTCTGAGTCTGGATAGGTATTGTTAAAAGACCGATATTCGGTGATGTTTAAGTTATTCTAGATTTTTTATTCAGTGATCAAAAACGCAATCGCTAGACTTTAACTGAAGTCACCTCGCTGAAAATTTGATTTGTCGCAAAGTTTTCTACTAGAACCTATAACGACTTTAAATATACTTTCTACGTTTTCTATCAGTTTTTTTGGGATTTTACAACATGAATTTATAATTTTGGCCTCTTGGGAAATTTTTTACTTGTGTGTGTAACTAGGGTGTTTAGTCTATGTGGTGGTTAAAACTGAGTATGTGAGCAACCTACTCATCTCTTTTTTATCTGAAGATATGGTACAGTGATAGGTGATATCTAAGATTAAAATCACCCTAGCACCTATCGGTTATGACTGGATGAGTACTAGCTGCACAGAAGCAGTAGAGCAGGCCAGACTCTAATTACTTCTGTAGATTTCTCTGCTCCTCTAAGTTGTTTTCGCTTCATGAATGTAAAGAGTAATAAAGATTCTGTTCATGGTGGAAAAGTTGTGGATCTACAATGAGCCCAATAAGGGACGATTATACTCCCATTGAATGATTTAAGCATTGAAACAATTCAACTTGGAGAGTACTACGAGCCGCACTTGGATAAAGATTACCCCAGATTTAAACCAGTTAAAGATCATCATATAGCATCATTTGATTAAACGTGCAGTTAGTTCAAAAATCAACCGGTAAATCACCAAATCTGTCAAAGCATACGCAGTCAGAACCATATATTAATACAACTGAAGTAAATTGAAACAAAAGAGTACTGATAACTGACCTTCTCTTCCACAATTAAAGACTGGAATTTCTAATAAGTTGAGGATTATGAAACTTTCACGACACAAAAAATCGGGATTTATAGTCGGTTTTGTTAAAATTGACTGAAGCTACCATAACTAAGACCTTACTCATTCAATTTTTAGCTTAGGTCGGTTTGCTATTTTAAGTTTATATAATTTCATTGCTAAATTTTAAGGTATTTTGTTAATGCTAACGAAACTTATTCATTTAATGTAGCTCAATAAACTCAGCCCTGAGAAACACAAACTATATCAGGACTATATGTACAACCAAGTATTGAAAACAGGAGTGTTAGAGTTTCTGATCTAGTGAGACTGATTAACTTTAATCTTTCCAGATAGTAAAAGGACCATATTTAACTTTTTTTAACCCATGGTCAGACAAAAGCTTTGAAATTAAATGTATTAGCCACCTTCTGATTTCAGTTAGCTATGCTGTTGTCATCCAAATCTATAACTAACCTACTTTTTCGTCAGGGGCTAGCTTGTATTTTCTGCAAAAACAGTGTGCATAACGTCATAAATGTCTCGGTTTTAGTTGATTAAATGTCCTATATATTACCTGGATCATACAGCACTCTTAATGACCCGTTGATCTGACTCCGCTTTGTTCGTTTGATGATGTAAACGAAATATACATGCCGGCCACTCTCATATATACCTATGGACTTATTTAGCATTAGATAATAACAGAACAAGTCAAATGAGATAATGAATTCTGGATACGTATATTTGATTCACTCGTTGCACAGACAGACAACAAGATGTACGAATCAGAGAAAGAGACCGGAAAAGGTAACCATACTAAATCGCCATAATATTCATTACAAGCATTAATATGGCCCGAAATAGATAGCAGTGTGACAAGGAGACGGAAATTGGATAACGGACAAACAAGTACACACAATGCGCGTGAGCGTATAAATACAAGGATTCAAATACATAACGTGTAAGAAATCTTATGATCACAACTTCCTATAGAATCGAAAGGGTTATTGTGAAAACAAAATGACGAGTCACGTGTGAATATTGGTACTAGACACCACACATTTAACAGTTATACTTTTATTTCGCGTGAGAGACAAAGACACTTTCCAAATATACTGAGACAGCTTAATTTGAAGCCGATTTATAGTGATTAAAAGAAGGTACTACTATCACTATTTTACTATTTAAGCGATAAATGGCAAATAGTTTGAAGTGAATGACACTCATTGCAACTTACTTTAACATATTGACTTGTAATAAGTGTGTCTACATTTGATACACTTATACCATGTAGTGGTACAATTAAGTCTATGTCTGAAAGATTTTCACACCAACGAAAATCTGTAATGTTGATTAGCATTTTTGAACTTCGTAAAATGTGATACTATAGTGATTTATCCAATCTTCAATGACTATCCAATATCTTTATCACGAACTTATATAGACAGAATTACTTTTTTGTTCTCACTTCTCATTGTTCAAGAGCAGCTCCAAGCATTTTGTAATATTCAGTTGATGACAGTCTGGCCACCCGACTGCATGAGTTGTACTTGTTGTATAGTTGCATAGTAAGTGATAATTTGAGTGCTAAGATAATACGATTGTTTCAAGGATAGAAAAGTAGTTTACCTAATTGGTAAACTGTGAGAAGACGGAATCGAAGAGGTGATGTGTGACGGAGATTGTAATAAGTGACATAGGAAATAGTCATGATGACGTGATAGTTTATGAGACATGAACCACACACAATTGGGTCAAGTGGGATATGGTAATCCATGGATGGGTACGTGTTCGTCAATTCCCGTCATAAAGCTATCCACTGGATGGATAGTGGTCAATTTGCTTGGGTGAACATTTCAACTGGGAGCCACTCTTAATAAGAAAAAGTGAAAGTTTACCTATGTGTTCGCTCTTTGATATGCCATCTTCCGATAGATGCCTCGAGGCGCATCGTAATGATGTTCGTTTCGTGGTAGCATGACGTGTTTATTAAGCTACACGTAATTATCAGATAACCTCATATTCACCTGAAGCTCAATGAGAATAACCCAAGTGTTCAAGTTTCTCTTCGTCAGATTTAAGTTTTAGCAATATCATCCACTTGAACGAGCGTCTGTGTACTTGGTTTGAGATTTATATCTCTTTTGAAAAGGGGGACGCAACTACATTATGAACGTTAGAGTGAGGTCATGCATATGCTTTGACGAAATAACTTGAATAAGTTGATTAGTGAGTCCAGCTAATCAAATTTCAACATACAACTCTGGATATCTGACAACGTCCGATACTACAAGTACAATAGCCTTGATATAATGCGTCTGGAGGTGTTTAGGTAGTCGCCTGCAAAAAATTGTGACAGCCTAACAGAATTATTAGGTGTAACCAAATCACCACCAACGAATTGCCTATAATATTGTTTCCGACGTACTCTCACACTTAAGGCTTTATTTACTTGTTAAACTGGCCTACAAAAGTAACGCGATCAGTTAGCTTTGATCTATCCCTAATTTTTTAGGTTTGTTAATGTTTCAGAGATATGTTTTCTGTTTATACATACATATATCAAAATGAGTTTCTTAAAAGCCTACATAATAATATGTCGTATTGGGTATTTCGCAGCTAAAATCATACGAAAACGTTTTAGGTTTAATGGTTTTTCACAGGTTTTCGTTATACACAATACATTGTCTATTATTTGGGTCCCAATCAAGTATGACGTTAGCGAAGCTTGTGATCTGTGAGTTAGTATTGTTTTATGACATTTTCTTAAGTAGCTTTATCAAGTCAGAACGGGATAGTTATTTTTCAGCAGCATGCTCTGTCATCAAATTAGATGGCATAAAAGGAAGTGTAAATTACACATTTTTGCTGAGGTTTGTGCTGATGATGTCGTTCAGAAGAACGATGAAAGCTCCACAACCAAACCATCCAGCTCAGAGGACAAAACTCCACCCAAATCCAATCACTCTTGATGGTGAAACTCTGGAAGATGTAGAATCCTTGACAAATCTGGGAAGCATCATGGATGAACAATGAGGTTCAGATGCAGACGTAAAGGCAAGGATTGGCAAAGCAAGGGTCGCATTCCTTCAGTTGAAGAACATATGGAACTCAAAACAACTTTCAACCAATATCAATGTTAGGATCTTCAATACGAATGTCAAAGCAGTTCTACTGTATGGAGCTGAAATTTGGGGAACTACAACAACCATCATCAAGAAGGTACAAGTATTTGTAAATGGTTGTCTACGCAAGATACTCAACATCAATTGGCCGGATACCATCAGCAACAGCCTTTTGTGGGAGAGAACAAACCAGCTTCCAGCTGAAGAGGAAATTAGGAAAAGACGATGGAAATGGATAGGACATACATTACGCAAATCATCAAACTGCATCACGAGACAAGCCCTAACTTGGAATTCTGAAGGGAAGCGGAAAAGAGGAAGGCCAAAGAACACATTACGTCGGATAATAGAAGCAGATATGAAAAGGATGAATAACAACTGGAATGGGCTGGAATGGATTGCCCAGGACAGGGTTGGATGGAGAATGCTGGTGGGTGGCCTATATTCCTTCACGAGGAGTAACAGGCGTAAGTAAGTAAGCATAATGACTTACTACGTGAGTGAAATCTCGTCATTCTTACCTAATCTAAGGGGTCGCATGACGAATGATGATATACATAGTTCTTTCGTCTTGTCCGTCATCTACCTAGTCTTACAAAGTCAGCCTGGAAGGATAAAAATAAAAATGATTGCAATTAGGGCTTACAATCACACTGATGCAAAAACGGTAATAAATCAATGCTTGAAAAGAATGATAATCAATGAAAAATACATCATACGAAAAATCACTATAGGTTTTGTCAAAGTAACTACATCATAACAACAATACGATATTCTCAAATGAAATTTGCTACATGAGGCATACCAGTTTACAGGCAAGATCAAATTCTTACAAAAGACGAAATTTTAATTGTAGTAATTTACTCAGCTGGGTTGATATTTTATAAGAAATGTCAATTCGAGCAGCCTGATTACTAATTGCAATTTAAAAATATTCGTATATATAGTGTTAATTGTAATAGTAATCTCCGGTATTTTAATTTTAAATGTTTGTTTAGCCAACAGCTGCCTGATAGTTTAGTTTTTATACTAGCGCAGTATGACAGTACCTGAATTTGTAACTTCGTTATTTAGACTGCGTTAATCTCTTTAAGTTACTAATATGATAGATCAATTCATAATCTCAAATACGTATAGCAATAACGACTATGATGGGTTTGTTGAAAAGTGTTAAAGGCGATTCAGATGATTTTTAAATCTAAATGACATAGTGGTATAATGCAGCGCATATCCGGGCCAGGTTAAGATGCAGGTTGGTGAGGCATATGGCAATTTAAGAAATAATAAACATGGCCAGAAAAATAATTTCAAAGTCAAGATGTCTTGTGGAACTTCAAGTAAGAATATAACGAGTTATAAACTTTCCATTAGAAGCTCCTGCATTTAGCCTAGTGACATTTGCAAATATGTGGCAAAAGCAACTGTTACCAAGAAATATCTTCAGACAACACACTTTTTCTTAAGAGTATGCTGTAGTATAAAGCTACTAAATATTTCTTATACCGAAAACGTTTTCGGAGCGGTTTGTATGAAACTTATATGACGAGTCTCTGAAAATATACACATGTTAAATACAAAAAACAAAAAATCATCCAGCAAAATAGTTAGATGCACCTGGGTTGTTTTCGATTATTAGATTCAATAGACGACATATATAAGGCAATTCGTGAGGAGTGGTAATGATCCGAAATAATAATTTATTCTCAAATATAAGTTTGTTACATGAGGCAGGCCAGTTTACAGACAAGACCAAATTGTTACAAAATATACAATTTTCGCTGTGGTAAATTACTCAGCTGGGTTGATATTTTATAAGATATGAATGTATATGGTTTTAGTAAGAATCGTATGGTCAGTATCACGGTTGGCGCGCCTTATGAAAGTTGCGTTGCGGCGTGCGACGGATGGTCGCGGATAGATTCTTGTGAAGTTGGAGGCTCCTAGAAACCGCAACTTTATATCTCCGTGGAAAATCTGAGGCTTTGATGATGGTGCAGGACGGAGTCGCTGGTTCCAGATCTGTTTTCAGTGACACACCTCAAGGGGTCTGAAAAAGAGCGTAAGAAAAAGAAAGGACGAGAAGCAGAGCAGACAATGTTCATGAAGGAATAGTTAAGGTTTGACTACTCAGTCTAATTCTCTTTTATTAAGGTACTTATTAAGCAAGAGCGTTCTAATATGTTAAAGAAAACAAGTGTAAATAAGGCATGAGTGGATAAAAAACTGCACAAACGAAGGTGGTTCAAAACGAAGCTCAAAGTATGGTATTATGTGTAGTTACAAAATATAGTGCTGAAAATAGTATTCCGATAGACAAATGGCTGTAGTCCTATTTGAGCTCTTCATGTAGATTTTATGATGTCTTGAGCAGGGTTCGTTTCTAACGAATTCTCTACTTTGCTTGTGATAGGATTACTCGATATGAAGTTAAACCAATTCAATGTTCTAAACACTATTTAATGAGGTATTTTGAATAATAAATCAGCATCAATACCATTGGTTCGCGACATTCAACTAAACCATAAGAAGCCGTAATTAAACAAAATGTTCCGTCCTTCAGACATAGTTGGATTGAAGTCATCTCCCCACCATCTTGTTCGCTGGTCAGTAACGTCACCTGCCCTCTTTTTGTGATGTTAGGCTCTCTTACGTTTGTGGTATATATGAATACTGATTTAATTAAAGCCCATAGTTAGAATACACTGTCTCTTCTAGTTCCATGTTACAAACAAGTTAGATAGCCAAAGCATTTATATTATGGGTTAGACATCCATTTAGTATATCACACTGCTATGAAGATAACCAGTGGTATAAGCTATATTATACTGGTCAGATTATATGTGGTCAAGAAGTGGTAAGGACTAATAGCAAATCAAAGGATATGAAACAGTATCAGATTGTAAAATGTTCAGGGTAAGAAAAACAAAACAATGAGCAACTCACAATAATATAGGACATTTTGAGCTACTTATGATCAGCCTTAGTTAATCAGCATCCATGAGATTAGTAAGTTATCTGTCTACTGGCAATAGAAAAAAGGACATGACACTTAGCAAGAATAATGTATCGTCAACCATTAGAGAGACTTAGAAACTGAAAGTGAGGGTTAGGAGCATAAGGCCATGATTAATGATCAATGAATAATTGGAGAGGATGAACCATATGTTCTGTAACTTAGTTATATTCAAACAAATATCAATGAGGTTTGTTATATTCTTGTTACGTCTAGATATCAGACGGTCCAAAATAAAGTGCTTAATTGGCGGGCGGGAGTTCAAGGAAAGGCTGAAGCTCTTTAGAGTCTAGTAACAGGGTTATTAGCCTTTTGAATTTGGTAAAACTGTCACAGTTACGGATAGGTATTGGCAACCTATTCTACAATAAACTATACCACACTGTAAAAAACTTACAACGTATTTGTCTTTTGATGTTTTACGGTAAATGGAGTATGTGTTCTTTTTCTTAGTCCTTAGGCTGGGTCATGGATCATAATTGGGCAGGAGGTTAGAAATGAGAGCGTGAAGCATCTATGCTTCAATTTAATTTTCTCCTCACTGTCTTCTACTATGATTGGAAAAATCTAGAAAAATGACTAACTTCACAGGCGAAGCCTGCTCATATCACGCACCTTAGTCGAGAATTTTTCATTCCTTTGTGACCTACCTCTGTTGATATGTTTTCAGCTTATATTACTAAACGGATTGTTTAGAATTAAAATGGCTTATGTACTCAGTATTTACTCACGTAGTTGGTCTACGTAACCTTCACCAATACACCTTGTCAGGTATCCAATAGTAAACTACTTATTATGGTGATCAAGCATACTCAATGTGACCATTGTTAATCATCTATTTTCCCCCATAGGTTCAAAGGTGAGGATAGCCTTTGATCACGTCTATCCTCAACTAAATATGTTACAAGCGAAACTTTAATCATTATTATGTGGGATGCAGAAACGGCCTGATTGGTTGACAATAACGCTTCAATCTAAGGAGCATAGTTTAAATTTAAAGGTGCATTTATTTTCATGCTGTTAAATTTTATTCTATAGATAATTCCATATATACTTACTGACCATCCACCACGAGCAGTTGAGGAAGACAGGAAACCTTTTGGGTGCAGATAAAATGTTTGAAACCCATTCGTATTTACGGGCTTTTACAATTTCATATCCTTTAATGGTAAGACCAAGGACGTATATACAGCTTGATAAGTAAATATACGTTATTCTAAGGAAAGCATCCAGTCCAGCATTCCCCGAATAGCCCCAAATGATTTTTCCCTGCGTAGAAAGGTAAGTACCGCGAAGTGCTTAATTCCAACAACTTCTGCACAGATATGATCCACTGGCATTTGTAGGCGATTTTGATAAGATAAGGTCTCGATAAAATAATTTGAGCAAACGTTTTCTGTTGACGATGATGAAAGACCATCCATTTTTTTCAAGGATGGATCCTGTACTTATTTAGAACGACACTATCTCACAACTTTTGAGGATCGTGGTCGTGAAAACGTTCCTGTAACGCTAATGATATAAATACGTGAAATACTGCAGCCCCGCGACATATAATTGCTGTAACACTCACATTAGTACTCGACATTGTTTCGAAGCAGCTCGAAATATCAAGCCTTGTTTATTATGACAGGGATAGACATTTGGTTAACAACTAAATCCCAGTAATATCTACCAATATTTTAGTGGGAATAATGCAATTTATTCGTGCTGTTGCTTTCCATAATGTAAATAGGGGAAACATGGTTTTAAATACGTCATTCATATTCAACTATCCACCTTGGTTGCAACAACATACAGTATTTTCCGGTCGGCTTAGGTGCTGTAGATCGCAATAGTTTTTCCTATGTCTCACACCTGAGCTTTAATCAGGAATGGATAACACTTTAGGCTAATAGAAACAATGTAAGAAAACGTAATGCACCGTCATATTGGAAATTGTGAAGACTTCATATGTCCAAGATATTTTTCTAGCCCTTCTCTATATTGACTTTAGATTGTTTGAAGTTTACAAACTCATCATGGAGGTTAGTCGCGACGGAGCATTTGACCGAGAAATATGCTGTGTCTGAACTAATCTGCGAGATTCATCCCAGTTGTCGAGGCTCTAGAACTTGTTTGAAGACTAACTGAGTGAAAAGTAAGAGATCTGTAGTTAATGAAGAGGATGGGTTCTTGGCTACCAACAGTGTTAGATGTACCGTATAGCAGAATGCATGATGATGAGTCCCCTGCTGTGAGTTGTATTAGTCGATTCACAACTTTACAACTGTCTCGAGAGTAATTTCGTGGGTTGCTGATGAACTGATGATATTGACGAATTCCGCACTGCCATGTAGCTGGTCTGTTAAGGGTCTTATGCGGAATGCGCTATTGGACATTCAACGTCGTAAAAATCTTACCTGTTCGTTGAACGTACGCAAATGCTTCAGTGTGGTTGGTTCTGAATAATCCAGTACAACCGCAACTTTGTTTGGCAGATGGCGAATGCCTTGATCATCAATGGTTTGACCGAGAAAATCCAGAGGTTAGTCTGATTTGATGCTTGAAAATATTTACAGTGATGCCCTGTTTTTGCAGTTGTTACTATACGAGGACTAGATGCTAGAAATCAAATCTGCCTTTCGGACTTGCACTCAGACTGTCATCGGCATAATGGTAAACAAAGTTGAGACCTATGAATATGACATTTATGAATCTTTGGGAAGTTTCCTTAGTGATCCTTAAAACAGAGGGCATGCGAAAACGTTTGCAGAGTCTAAAGAAGGTTAACATAGATGTTCTAGGAATGTTATCTCCAGCCATTAGAATTCAATAATGTTTGAGGTAGCGCCTTCACTCGCAACACATTTATATATATATATATATATATATATATATATATACCTTTGTATACCAACCCAGTCAAATCAGAAGGGAGAAGTGAAGGGGTTTGAACATATACTTAGAAAATTGTCGATATGTTGAGAAACGTTTGATCTAAGCCGTCTAGTATTTGCAAATGATGCATGGCAGTGTGTTTAGTGGTATCTGTTATAGCTGCACAATCAAGCGCGTTCAGCTAGGGTGTCCAGTATAATTAATGAGAGTAGTATCAATATCGATGATTTACGGAACTAGGGGTTTATGAAGATTGTGCTAATTTTAAAAGTTAAATTCATGGGTCGATCTAGACCAGAGCATCATTGAAAACCTGGATTCACTTGATGGATGTTTCGCCCTTGTACAGGGCTCCTCAACAGTGCCCATCCACGATCTTGCACTCGGGACTGGAACCCAGAATCTTCGGTCTCGCGCGCAAACGCTTAACCTCTAGATCACTGAGTCACATCCGACGGTGTTAATGTCTATCTTCAGTCGATAAATGATCTTGCGCGACCATTCATCAGTTGTCTTACATGAGCACCTGTCTCCACCAAACACCAATTGGGATCCACCTGTCACAGTTTTTATTACAACTCAAGGAGATCGATCTTAAAGTCACTCACTAGTGGGCACATGATGGTTATCATCAGAATGAAAATATCTGTAGCTTGAATTACCTCATGCGGGATCGTGGATGCGCATTGGTGAGGAGCTTCATACTAGGACGAAATGACCGTCCAATGGTTTCAGATTTTCAGTGGTGAACTAGCTTAGATATACTCATGAATTTAACTACCTGTTTTGGGGATTTATTGACCGATACAGTAGCCAAAATAGAAGTTATCAATGCAGGGATTCGAAGACATAATTGGAATACCGTCGATGTTTCGAGAATTATATGAGCTAAGCTAATTCGTTGATGCTAAGAATGTGCGGAACGTTTATCCGCTATAATTTCAACCCCCAATTAGCAGTGGAATTCACCACGATAGGCAGAACCAAGTAGTGAGATTACGTTTATTGGATGCTATTGAACACACAGACGAAGAAATTAACACAAAGACTCGTCTATAAAAATATTAGTTGGTGTACACCTGTCTATGTACACCGTCTGTTAATATATTCAAAACGAGTTTGGACCTCCACAGTATTACAAACTGCAAGGTTTAATATAGGTCAAAAGACCTCCTATCCTTATTACTGAAGACTGAAGACACCTGGCAGTCATGTCGATATTGGACACTGAAGATAGTAGGTGGATATTACAGGTCCTTGGTATTGGCGGGTTAATCGATGAGGTTAGAAAGTATATTCCGACGAATAGGTCCAGTGGCCCTTGCAGATATATTGTAAAGACTTACTATTCAGTACCGCGGACCGGTAAATAGGCACAGAATTTTTAAATACATAACTATTTCTAGTACTTAAAATTGATCTAATTAGGTCATTCAAATGCAGCTTCTCGATACGATTATTCGAAGTGCTTGGATCTAGTTAACTGTAAATAACCAGTTTAGTTGACGCTCTAGCCGCGAAGATTTTAAAACTGCTCTAGTTAGATTCTTCGGGATTGAGAATTTGCAAGTGATCCAATCTTGCAAGATTGGTGGAGACTCTCGATCGAGAGTCTCCACCAATTCATTCAGATAGTTTACTTCGAAGTAAACTATCTGAATGAAGTAAAGTAAGTAAAAACTAGTTAGCCAAAAGTGTCGGTAATCGCGTCGTGTAACAGTTGATAACTATAGAAAAGTATGGATGCCTAGTGGTAAGATATATAATAGTCAATTTAAAGTGGTTTGAGAGCCAAATTTGGCTGAACATCGGTAGAGTATTCATGACAAAAGGTCATGGTATCATTAAAAATAATATTTATTAATTGTAAGTTTATCTTCAGAGGTTTAAAAATGCACTGATGATGAAATGTTTGTCTGCAGAACTACGCAGCATAGATCTTGGGGATTTCTCCAAAATTCCTAAAACTTGGGAGATGGGGAAGACTAATCAAGTCAGTACAAAACTTATTTGTCGCAACTAGTCAAATACACGAAACGATTGCTCAGTTTCCGCCCACCAATTTTCTACTGCTTGTTTTGTTTAGCAATAATGACTAAACGAGTATATTGGAAAATATTTCGTAATGACAAGTACTCAACAGGGAATTTACTGATAGTTCATCTCATCATTAAGGTTTCATACGACGTACCTAGTAGTAAGCTTGGTGATTGGCTAGATCATACTCTAATGAAGTATTTTTCATCTTTGAATTAAACTTTAGTTGTAACGTTATTTTGCACTGACGCACTCCTAGTCCGCTCATATTCAAGTTTATCTCGTTAGCTTCCACTTCCTCTTTAGTCTGAAGTATGGTGGTTTTTAAATTGAAGCCGAAAATGAAAATTTACATCAGGATATCACGAAGGTGTCTATGACGTTTAACTCATGAATCGAAGTCGTAACTTGAACACTAGTGGGAACCAAATTTTAAGAAATGTAATGTACAATAAGGAGTTACAACAGAAAGTAATGGACGTTTGCTAATATTAGAACTAAAGATGTGAAGGTAAACAATCAATGAATACTTTTGGGCCAAATTACGTAGTTTTTGACTCCCAAGTACCTACGAATAAGTCCATACTACCTTATCCAAGGCCATGTCTTATCCTGACTTCGCCTCTTGTTAACGGACTTTCTTTATTTTCAAGGTTTGAATGAATACAACAAATATCTAAATGCCTTTCATAGTACTTAACCTACTCTCTTACCTATCATTTTGATCTAGCAATTCGAAACGTCGAAGATCCAATGTAGAATTCTTGGATCTAAAAAACATTATTGAATCTCCACCTATGGATCTCGATGCTGATCAGAATATCAGAAAGTCAAAAAGACTTCGTCGTGATTTTATATGTCTGTCAAAATCAGAAAGTAAAGAGCCTTCAAAACCGTTCAGAGCACCTCGAAGAAAGTCATTGAGGTGCCCATTAAAGCAAGTAAGTGTTTTTAACATTTCAGCATATTACTTTGCTGTTATACATGTCTTGTTAAGCATCACTCATTTTCGACTCATAGGTTGAATATGATCCTATCTTCAGTTTTCCTACTACATGACCCGTCTTGTTCCTACCATTTCAACGGTCTAAAATACTTCTTTTGAAATATTACTAAATGTTGTCCAACAATCACTCTTCTGATTGACTGTATTTTGAACACCGTGAATTGAATGTGAATATGCTTGTAGCAGTGATGAAGAGGTAGCTTACTGGTGTGAAATTCGAGTGTAAAGTCATTGATAACACGTCCAAACATCTGCTCACTTTGGCTTGGGTAGCTACATGTATCTCTAACTATCCCACAAGATTTTAGTTCAGGGGTCAGTTGATCACACAAATTTGTTCGTAGTCATCGGGTTTTGATTTTTATCTTAGTTTACAGCATTCTGACGTTAAAGTCGTAATAGAAAATAGACTCACCAAGCTGGTTGTGATAATTTTTCGCTCTGAATTTGTTCCACTTGCAACATCGGTGTAGTATCAAAAAAGGTTTGTCGAATTAAAATTAAAGCGATATTTACCCTTTAAAACTAGGACTTGGAACCCCACTAACAGTGCAAAATGTAATGGACCAAACCAATTTCCAGTCAAATCAAAAGTCCCGATTACTATGCCATTGTAAATATTGTTAATGCTTACTTTTGTGTGAAAGCAATCTCCGTTTATTTATTTTGGCTGATTAATGCATGTTTAAATTTTCAAATTTCTATGATTACCTTGTCTTCTTATACTTATTCTGTTCTGTTGGCCGAAGTGATTCGTCTCATGTTGGGTTAAGTTAGTTCCTGATATTTTTCACTCATTTTTGAGTACGGTGGGTGTTCAGAACTTTATAAGGTCCCAACCAAATTCATCTGTTAGTGTTCATTCTTTACTCCAATTGCTTCTCATGTGACCGATTCGTGACTTATTGCTTGGCTTGAAATATTTTATTTTTAGTTAAATTCGCATGATAGTACATCCACTAATCCTACTCAACTAACTGTTCAAATGAAAAATGACCAATCACACATGGATGTTAGTTCTATCAATACTATTTCATTTGGTAATCTGTCGATTTCATCACCAAACAAGTCAGAAAATACTAAATTATCTCGTCCAAGTTCTTCATTTATTCCTGCATTTGTTTCAGATTTTTATCTCTCTAAAAGATATATTCCCCCTAAGCACAGAGGGTTAGCCACAGTAGTTGAAGATTCTGTTAAACGGAGTCAGCGACGTCCTAGATCGTACAAAAAGACCGAACTTTCTCCAATAAGACGACAAATATTTACAGGCCAAACTCTTGAGGAAGCTTGCGCCCCTACAGCTGCTGGTATTGCTCCGCTAGACCCAGAATTTGTGTTGTCAGCTACACGTAAGCGTGTTATCAGGCGCCAAAGGCTTGCAAAAAAGTTAGGGTTTCGTGGCATTAGTATATCCAAGCAAACTGAAGAGAACTTTGCTAAATTTCTTTCACAATCAAATTTGAATTCTTCTCACAGTAGCTCAGCATCTATCTGAAATGAAATGCAATTGTCCTTCATATTAATCTCATACTGCTTATTGATACCTACGTCTTTCAATTAAATATCAAAATTCAGACCCTCCTTGTTTTATGTAAATCTTTTATTTATATGACATTTCCACCAGTGTTCACATAGAATATTGTATACATGGCTTGCAAAAGCATCGTAAGAATTTCATATTTCATCCCTTTTATGATATCGTGTCGTGTATACTTTTTGATTAAGTATGAAACCTGTTTAGATTTTTTACAACTTATGTTTACAAAACGAATTTGACTTTTAACTCCCTTTAGATTTTGTTACAGCCCAAAATGTGGGGGATTTTATAAAACATCATTTACTCTGAATATAATCTTTTTAGTTCTTCTGAAACAAATATCCTCATATTTTTCTAAAACGTTTCTTTTGTAAAGTTGGGCTATGCCTCAAATACTGAGACATGTTGCATATCATTTTTATCAGTAAGCTTTTACCACAGATTTTATATATGACCATTATCAAACTTTTAAATTAAAAGGAAATCAATAACGTGGTTGAGTTTTAAGATTTTTTTCAATATTGCTTGATCGGCAGTTAAGTGCCCAGGTTTCTAAAAATTCCCGTCTTAATCGTACTTTCTTGTAACCTTACTAATTCTATAGAATAAATTGTGTGTACCAACAGTCCTGGAAGCACGTTTCGTCTTATCTAGGACCTGTCAGCTGCACCGATTCTCATCTCAATGTTGATTATTTTTGGACTTGAACCCAGTGTCCTTTGTTTCAGACGCTAATATGTTATGCACTAAGGTACTGAGTCAAGATTGTCACTTACATATGTGCCGACAAAACCCGTCAAAATACAGTCTTGATCATCTATAAAGTTACTAACTTCTGTCTGAGCCATATTGGTAGATGCAAACAACTTGGGTGTAGTCCGGGCGACTATCGTAACCAGCGGTTGGAGGCTCTGGGTGACATGGCTCAGAATCAATCACAATGGTACAGGTGCATACACTCTTCGTCTTCCCTTAAACTGTGAGATTAAAATTATTTATACATTTCTATCTACGAACTAATTATTTATTTGAACACATAAATATTGGTACAAAAGGGCGCCGAATACACATGCTCTACACAAGTCACTTGAATTGTGTGTAGGCTGTGATACTGTTCCGGTGCTCAAACCCAGGCAGGTGGTTTTTTCTAGGGGCCACACCCATAGCCTTCGACTTAAAGGTCTGATCCAAAAAGCAGTTGAGCGACGTCAGGAGATGCAGTCTCATGGTGGCCGGTGGCCAACGATTGGTTCATACGTCATTTGTTCCTTCAGGATCTTGGAGTCCATGAACACCATTGGTTTGGGACCAGGGTTTCCCAACTCCCCGAGATGGATCCTCCGTGTCCACCAACCGGATTAAGGCGCAGGACATTCGCTTTCCGTCCTCTCAATTTCGTAAACAGCACCGCCGCGAGTTGGACTTTCCTGGCAGTACCTGTATACGTGTGGCCATGGGAGAGCATTTCGAGAGGGAGAGCTGGCTCCCCACACTCGGACATACCGAGGCATTTGGGGGCCTGAACTAATTCTTTGTTGTGGTATGACAACGGACCGATACATATAATATGCCTGGTCCTACGTTGTAAAAGACTGACTTGCTTGGATTGTTGATTAAGGTGGTCAGATGACTTTGCACTTTGTCAGCGTCTTCACCAAACAAAACTGTATAATCTGCGTATTCTAAGTCAAAAAGTAAATCCCCTGGTAGATCACCCGACCGTAGCTGCTACCTTGATGCGGTTTATTTATTTATTTGAACACATATATATTGGTACAGGAGTGCACCGAATATATATGCACCACACAAAACAACGAGAATCTGAGAAGAAAAAGTGAGGAACGTAAAAAAATAATAATTAAAAAAACAATAACGAAGAGATTGGTGTAAGGTGGTGTAACAACAATAATAATAGCAATAGTAGGGGAACAGAAGGGTCCTTCACGACTCCCTGGTTGGGGTCTGAGAGATGGTGCTACACAGTGGCTAGAGACGTTATCAGATATGGCTCAGAATAGAAGCCAGTGGCGATCCTGCTGTAACCTTCTTTTCATTTCTTCATAAAACGTGGTTGTGACTCCCTTACCTGAAAGATTTCTTGTGATTGTACCTTTGCGTTCCCTGATTACTAGCACATTACCTTACACCAATCTCTTCGTTATTGTTCTCTCTTTTTTTTGCGCTCCTTAGTTTTTTTTCTATCTCTTCGAATTTTCATTGTTTTGTGTGGCGCATATATATTGGGGCTCTCTTGTACCAATATTCATGTGTCCAAATAAATAAATAAAATCGTGATGATCCAACCGAGCTATTTTGGCTGGGACATACGTTCCTATAGGTTCTATCATGCCAAGCAGGTCGATTGGAGAACGTTAAGACTAAAAGCAGCAACTCAAGGTCTGAGAGCGAAGTCGTACTACTGACTGCAGAGGGGTGTGATAACAGTAAGGTGTTTCCTTCGGAAAACCAGCACCGTCAGCGATGCTGCCTTCTCAGAAGGAAGTGGTTAGAAAAGGTCGACTATAAAATGCCACACCTCGCCTTACCTCACAGCACACGAGACCAAGTTGGTCACAAATAGATCCTTCCTATACCTCCTAATAACTCTTATCTCTACTACTAACCCTCCTCACGTCTCTTTATCACCTCCCACCGCTAGGGTAAACGATTCGAGTACGCGGAACGCTATTCCTGGTCTCCTGAAACCACGCTCTAAATTACACGTAGGAGCTTTTAACGTCCGAACACTGCGCCAAATAGGACAACAGGCTTCCTTAGCTAGTACTTTAGAATCTTGCGCCATCGATGTGTGCTGCATCTCCGAAACGCACATACAGGATCCGAGTAGCGTCATTCATTTGACATCACCATGTCAACATAAAGAACCGACTCGATTCACACTTCGTGTATCTGGAAGCCCTGATTCTGCTTTCCGTGGTCTCGCCGGCGTAGGTATAGCATTGAGTCCTAGGACAGAACTAGCTCTCTTAGAGTGGATCCCAGTAGACAGTCGTTTGCGCGCTGTCCGACTGAACGGAACAGTAAGGATCCGAAAAGATAGGGACACTCGTCGTTGCCTCTTCGTCGTCTCTGCCTATTCTCCCACTGACTGCAGCGCATATGATGTAAAAGATGAGTTTTACAGAAAGCTCTCCGACCTCCTCCTAAAAGCTAGGCGCTCTCATGTAGTAATAGTGGCCGGTGACTTTAATGCTCAAGTAGGTAAACTGAGCGAAAGGGAAAGACACCTGGGTGGATCTTATGTCGTGGCTCATGGAACAGATAATGGCGACCGTCTGTTGCAGCTATGCTCAGACAACCGCCTCTTTCTTGCAAATACTAACTTTAGGCATAAGCAAAACCATCTTTTTTGACATGGCGACCCCGAATTCTTCCCAACGCTGGACCCAACATTGCTAACAGCCACCGATAGAGGACCGTCGCTCATTCTGGAGCACATACTTAGATTCAGATCATGCTCTAGTGCGAGCGCGTATTTGTTTGCGTCTTACTGAATGTAAGAAAGACGCTGCAAAGAAACCTCTTAGGGGTCTACTTAATGATAGTCAAGATAAGAGTATATTTCACGAACAACTAGAAAAACAGTTAGGCAGCCATGTATGTGATGCCCACCCCAAGAGAGGATGGAATGACATCCAAAAAGCCGTGGAAACAGCAGTGATGTCTGGAAGTACGGTAAACCACAAGGTTAGGGAGAAGTACTGGATCTCAACAGCATCTACCGCACTGATAGATGATCGGAAACTCATCCCATCTGGCTCTGAACATAATGAAGAGCGGAGTCAGCTTAAGCGCAAGCTCACAAGAAGTCTACGCAATGATCGTGAACAGTGGTGGGTAGCGAAAGCATGAGAGATGGAAAAGGCAGCGGCGATAGGTAATAGCAGACAATTGTTCAGACTTGTTAAGGAAACCGGTATTACGAAACCGACTGTTAGCGAAACACTCTCAGAGAAAGATGGACATATTATACACTCTCAATCCAGGAGATTGGATCGATGGGCAGAACACTTCAGGGATCAGTTCAACTGGCCTTCAGCCACATTTCGGTTTCCCGTGATCTCCAGTCAACCTAAATGGCAAGTTAATGTAGGTCCTACGTCTCTTTACGAAATTGAAAAAGCCATAGGAAATCTGAAGCGAGGGAGGGCACCAGGCCCTGACAGGTTTACTCCTGAGATTTTTAAGGATGGTGGTTCAGTATTAGCAGTGAGATTAACTGAGGTCCTAGGTAGAATTTGGGAACTGAACGTAATCCCATCTGACTGGTCTCAATCACTGATTGTGCCAGTTTTTAAGAAAAGACAAAAGTCCTCTTGTGACAATCACAGACGAATCAGTTTGACTAGTATAGTGTCTGAAATATTAGCTTCAATAATACATCGACGCCTAACTAAAGCTCGTGAAGAGCAAACTAGAGAAAATCAGGCCGGTTTTTGACCTGGACGTGGTTGTAGAAATCAGATATTCGCACTACGTCAGGTTCTAGAACACAGACACAAGTTCAGACGCCCCACAATTGTAGTATTTCTCGACCTCAAGGCGGCATTCGACTATGTTGATCGTGAAGTTCTACGGTAGTGATTGTCACTGAAAGGAGTACCAAAGTAGTACATTAACCTCATAAAGGCTCTCTACTCGAACACAACTGGTAGAGTGAGAACTTATGGCAAACTGTCATCAGAATTTATTACCTCAAATGGTGTTCGTCAGGACTGTCTATTCTCTCCATTCTTGTTCAACTTTGTCGTTGACGTGCTTTGAGTGATGACACTTTTCTCATCTAAATTTCCAGGGGTTGAACTTTCACCAGGAGATTCACTTGTTGACTTGGAATATGCCGATGACATAGTTCTATTTGGCGAAGGCGTTGACAAAATGCAGAGTCTTCTGATCATTCTAAGCAAGCATGTTCGGCATGCGATTCTCCCCCTCGAAATGAAAATGTTGCTTCAGGATTGGGTTGCATTGACACCAGAACTAATGATAGGGAGTGAAGTAATTGAGCGTGTCGATCGCTTAACTTATCTGGGAATTCTCATCAGCCCTTGTGTTCTGGTGTGTGACGAAGTCTCAGCACGGATACAGAAGACCCGACTAGCTTTTACCAACTTGCGTCATTTATGGCGTAGGCGAGATATCCGTCTATCAACCAAAGGACGGGTTTACTGCGCAGCAGTTCGTTTCGTCCTACTTTATGGCAGTGAAACATGGCCGGTAAGAGTAGAGAATATTCGTAGGTTACTAGTATTTGATCATAGGTGTCTTCGAAATATTGCTCGTATATCCTGAGACCATCGAGTAAGTAATGTAGTTGTTAGGAAACGGGTAATAGGTAAGGGTGGTAAATCAATTGATGACGTAGTAAAACTTCATCAGTTGAGATGGCTGGGACACATGTTAAGTATGCCCAACGACCGTTTGCCCCGACGTGC